AAACGTTATTACAGATCGTTCACTACCCGTTCGTTATCCGTTCGTTTTGCCGTTTCAACGAAATATCGTTAACGTACGTTTTCCCGTGGAAGGTCACATATCGTATGGGCGTTATATTCGTATACATATAATAAAAAGATGTGTACGTATACGACGTATAGATTTGCAGTGTTGCAGAGGAATGTTCTAAGGGAACATTTATTCCCCAATGTTTAATCGAATATTTGTCCATATTCGGGTGTTAAGATGCCCATGCAGTCAGCAATCGGGCCATCGTGCCTAATAGGGTCATATAAGGCCATATAAGTCCCAAACGGGCCTATGAGCACATGCTCATAAATGCTCATGAGCAGATGCTCATCCGCTCAATGAGATATTTCAGGCCCAAACTCCTCAAAGGGAGGAAAAAGGGGGGTATTGCGAATGCGAAAATGTGTGCATTTTTAGAGCGAATCGAAATATATATTGGTGTTATGGACAACGCGATGCTTGAAGCATAAATTAAGACACGTATTAACGCTTGTAACAATGTAATTAAGTAGAACAATTTTACAAATATTTTAAACATATTGTCCGGGCACTACACTGTTTTCTTGTTTAGATCGTTTGACTTTTTCTTCCGTAAGCAAGAGTTTGCATTGAAAAGCCCGGACTTGTCCGGGTTAGGACGCCTAGTCATGCAGCAATTGGGCCATCGGGCCTAATAGTGCCATATAAGGCCATATAGGGCCCAAACGGGCCTAATAAAATACCTGACTTGAAAAAAATGAGCCAATTATTATTAGGAATTTGTTGAGCAATCATCTAAATATGCGTCGCACTCGTAGGAGCTGTCCTGTGTTTAGCTGTGGTAGTACAAATTTAGCAAGGTTAGCAAATCATCTCGACCAAGTACACGATATGGGCACAGAGGAACGCAAGAGATGGTTAAAGTGGAGTAAGAAAGGAATATGTGTACCTCGACAGAGTAAAGAACCAAAGGAATTCGATATGGAGGAGTGTCTGGAAAATTTATTAGAGCGCGATGGAGAGAAATTTATTATCAAGAAGAGATGGAGAGAAACTTTAATGTTTACCTAAGCACTGCAAACGAACAACCTCTATCTAGGGGGAAACGAAGAAAGTACATAAGGGATTGCTAACATTTTAGTTTGTGTGAATGTACTGGACTAGGAAAAAGTACCGTTGAGCAGATTAGCACATCCTCATAACTACACATGAGCAGACATCTGCTCATAAAACTGCGTTGCTGCTCGATAACAAGGCATTTACACACTTCTAGTGCTAAGGGGATGAGCTGCCAATTTTGCAGAAGATATTTCAGCCGCAGTTACAATCAGCGCAGACCCGAACGGGAGTATTGCCTACTACGAGAACAAGAAAGAAACATGTCTCAAACAGACTCGGACAGTCAAGAAAGTGATTTCCAAGATGATGTCTCGACCACTTCCACTCAGCAATCTGGAAGTTCGACGACAACGGACTCAGAATGTGAAGAAGAATTGGATCCCTGGATGCCGTTAATAGAAGAAGCATAACATAGAAGTAACACAGTATTCGAGGAAATGAAAGAAAGCCTTATAAACAGTGGTTTTGATGAGCACTATGCTAAAAAGAAAGCTTACTTCAATGCCATGCTAGACTCCAGGAATATTGATTAACAGCAATATTGATTAATTTCTTGATTAGAAATTTTCGAGCTATATTTTGGTGGTATTTTTGTGCTTTTTAAATTAAACGGATTAATTTCAACATTAAAAAACCAAGATGATTTCATGATATCTGGTGATGGAAGCATGACAGCATGGGTCATAGCGCTAAGTATTATGCGTACACAATATTTCACTGGTGTTATAAAAAATAGATTTTTTTTCTCCCTTTCCTATTATGTAATTGCATTTACCAATATATATGTAACTGTCAGGGGTGGGGTTATTATGTGAATATGAAAGAAAACAACCTGCATTTTGTTCTGTATATTCTTGTGTTATAGAAGTCAAAAATACATGCTGTTACTATACTGTATAGGCCCTTGTGATTCATATACAATTATAGTTTCAATTGTGTGATAGTTATGTTTTTGTAATCTCAATTGTAGATTCTATGGCATATAGAGTCGAATTGGTACGGCAAAATATCTTTGAGAATTGAAGTTTATGGCGGTTCTTCAGGTATGTTCTGGCAATTCACTGAAATACTATTTGTTGGCTAAGGAATGTTGTCCCATGGTAGCGGTACGCATGAACCTGGGATATCACAATGCTGATAGCCTCACAACCCTGGACAATAATATAATAATTTACTTGTTCCTTGTGTTTCAATTTTAGATCAAATAAAGTATGGCAACCCAGGAGTTGCTAACAATTATTACCTTTCTCTTATCACTGACTACACCTCCATCCATCGCTATGCCATACATGGATTTGATGGACTGACATACCAAGCAAGGTAAATATTGCAGGCTACATGGTATATGTTCAGTTTATTATTATGTCATATTAGGACTGTTTGACATTATTTTTTTATTCAGTAATTCCCCTATATAGGAATGTGATAAAATTCGATGTTAACCCCCAAGTAAAGATTTCACAAAATCAATGGAAATAACGCTGTACCTCGACTGGTTTCAATCCTGGAGGAGCCGTGTATGGCAAAATTATATGCATTATCATTTCATTTTTGTTGATGATTGTTCGATGGTGTTTTGGTGCCAGAAGATAATTGATACTAATTATTGGCCCACGTACTGAAGACACATAACATCCCAGATAATAGCAACAAGTGTTGGGAATGCGGATAAGTCGACAGGACATGGTCGCTTAAATGAGGCAGCTTCCTGGTCTGCACGGAAAAATAACCAGGACCAAATGCATTTGGCAAGAAAGATGTTTGTCGGAGCGATTTCACTCAAAGTGGTCGTGATTATAATTAGTTGGTGAACACCTATTCTGTGTCCTGTATTTCCGACGGGCAAAAATTCGATCATTACAAAATAAATGGACTAGTCAGGGTTAGCTGGATTAATAAGCAAGGCTTCTACAGATTACCCTGTCACGTTATATGCATCACATCATTTCCATGCGGTCATATATAACTTTTAATGTGTGATTAAGATTAATTGTTTAACAAATTATTCATTTCATTAGAGACTCGCTGGTGGAAAATCCTATCACCAACTGTAACCGCGCTTTACATCCGCATTCATCCAAAGACATGGTATGCAACATATCTTTGAGAATTGAAGTTTATAGCTGTTTTTCAGGTATGTTCTAGCAATTCACTGAAATACTATTTGTTCACTAAGGAATGAGAAATGACTGAGAGATCCATCTAACTGAAATATATAGCGAAAATTTTTCAATAAGTGGCTTATGTAAGAGCGAGTTTTTGATTTAGAAATAAATTCTTTACACCCTACCAGCGGGTTTGTCAGGTTTTTTACTAACTTAGGTGCATTGGAATACAAGTAAAAATAAGGCGTGTTTTAGAAGTTATACCTGGACGAGGAATCCAGCATATCATTATGAGGAACAAAGCTATTATAGCGGTATATACTCAGGGCTATCACAATCAAGTTTAGTGTTATCGCTTTATTTCAATGTTTGCTGCACGGTCGGATTCTCACAATTAAAGAAAATCAAGCGAAAAGTTTCACACGTACAAAAGTATAGGTATGGAACTGGGGCCGGTTGTTCGAAAGATGGATAACTTATCCAACGGATAAGTCCTATCCAACGGATAAATCTGGATAGTTATCCATTGGATAAAAACGCGTTGCAGGAAGCGTGGATAGTGAAGTGGATAGCTATCCAATATAAGTTAAAATTTACCAGAAGAAAACAGGATTATTCTGAAATTTCGTACCACAACGTCAGCTGTTGCTAAGCATTTACAACATTGAATTCATAATCATTACGAATTCTCGAGTATAGTTACTGAATGGAAAAGACTTGAACAAGTGATTTGCTCGAACTTTGCACTTCACATCATAGTGATTTTATTAATTAAACACATTGCAATTTTATTCCTTGACCTTGCAACGCTTTGCCTTTCGGTCCCATAGCAAATTTAGAAACACTATTTTAATGTTCGTGAATGAAATTACTTAGATATTAGCAAGTTTCCTTGGAATAGGTTGAATCTTTCTTTGCATATTCGCGTTTATAAACTGATAAGAAGCGTATAGTAAATTTACCACCTGTTATAAATGCGAGGATGTCCAAAAAATCGCCGGTCGAACGGAATGTGTAGGCAACGTGAAACGCTGCTGCGACAAATTGCACTTCGAAAACATTTTTAATATATAGTGTGAATACACAGTAAGATGCATGTATTTTATATAAATGTTTACAGTGTTACCTTGTATCTTTGAATTTATCCACTGGATAGTGGATTTAAACCACCTCCGGACCTTGGATAAATTTATCCGGTAGATAGCGATTTTTATCCTCTGGTTAAAGTTATACAAGCTTCGTGCAACCCAAATCACACGCTGGATAAAACTTATCCGTTGGATAGTGAGTTATCCGTTGGATAGCGACTTATCCACCTTTCGAACAACCGGCCCCTGTTCTTTTATTTATCGGAATAACTAGTGATGTGATCTTACATGAAGCATTTTCAGTCATGCTGCTAAACTGTCGTGCTGGCTTCGCCACTGAGTATTTTATTTGCTCGCAGAGCCTCGTCTGCCGAACGTGACCGTCGGCCAGTCTTCACCATGTACGGTGACAGTTATTTTCTGCCTTTTAACTTGCCGACATGCAATGTTTCATTGCACGGTGAGTTTTCAACTTTACTGAAGGCGCTACTATACAATATGCAATTTTCCTTACAACTTGCAATGCAATTATAATTCCGAAAGATGTTAATTTGTAAAGAGTGTTCGAAATACTAAGGAAACGTTAGCAGATCGTAATAGATGTTCGTATTTGACAACTTTAGATGCCTCAGGAGTAGAATGGTTTTGCAATTTGCAAGGAAAGTTGCGTAGTGTAACAGCGCCTTGAGATTGTTTCGGAAAGCTGGTTAAATTTCGATGTAACTTGCAAACATGTAATGTTTCATTGCAATTGCGAGTTGAAAATAAGGGTCATTGGACGGAAGAACGGGACAAGTATCGTAGTTTTCAACATACCTTTTATAAGGGCGGAGACATTGATCTTCCATCCACGGTCGGTTTTATCATTTTTTCTGCTTTTTCTATCATTTCTTTATCCTACAAAAGACAAAAAAAACTTGTTAAATCGTGGATCAATCTAACACTTTTAAAAGCTTTTTCTCCTAACTGAACTAATTTTATTTATACCGTATAGTTCTGTCAGTTCTAAATTGTCCTTCATGGAGGTCCAGTAGGGGTCATCCCGTATTGATGCAGTGTTACTACAGGAGGAAACCTGAACTAAACTGACTTTATTTATGCTGGATAGCTGTATCAGTTCTAAACTTCAACCAAACTAATTCTAACAATTCGAAAAAGCTGGGACTTCAGACGAAAAAGGTCAGCCGATTTTGAAAAATCTTAGATGCGGGGTGTTATAAGGCGGTTAGTAATTTCATCATCACCTTCATCCAAGGATGTTCCAGAGCTTCTGAAACCGTGATGCATTTTCTGTGACCAACAGTAAGCAGTTTTGTTATAAGATCCTTAGCTTCACTGCTAACATTCTTCCAGAGGTTGTTCGGAAATTTATACGACCCTTCTTTGACTTGTTTCTCCAATGGGTTATTTGCCTGCTTTGAAAATAAAGAAGATCCGGAAAGTCTAAAACACGTTAACTTTTCATTGACGTACTCCAATTTTGAAATGAGGTTAAGCTACCTCCAGCTTCATTACAAATCGTGTTCACTACGTGAATTTGAGTAAACTGAAGTATATGGCATAGCAAACATATAGTATAACTCCCAGGCTCCAGCAGTCACACGATTTCTTGTAAGATCGTTCTTCAGGCTACGGGATTAACATTTTGGTAGCGAGGTAACTTGGTGTACCACAGAGTGTTTCCATATAGGAATTCTGATCTAAAAAATTAATTGTTATCATTGAGATCTGTAACAATGAGAAATAACTGAACCTAAAACGTTTGCAGAATGCGCTCTGCTTTCGTAAAACGAAATCACGGAAAAAAATCGGAATTGAGATTATAGTGACTTCCAGGATTTGCTGGCAATGGTCACATCGAATGGTTTCTTCAAAGACAATTTAAAGGGCAATTTAAACACAAGTTCAATACACAACCGACACAAACCTTTATAAGCGTTTCATCATACGAGGAACACAATAAAACATTTTCTGGCTAAAGAAGAAAAAGTTAAATTATGGTCGTTAAAGTTTAGGATATAAAGACAGTAGTGAAAATAAATTAGGGCGTGCTTACCTTCCAATCCCTGTTAGTGATGCCATTTTCATGTAAATGCTAAAAATACGAAACAATTTGAATAAAGTTAGTTTAGTTCAGGCTCCTGCAGTAACACTGGATCAATAACAGATGATCCTTAGCTTGGTGTCATTAAAAGCTCCAATCTCTTCGTGATATTTTCCATAAACTTTAGTCATCGCCTGTGAATGAAATATTCCAATTTGTTTAATTCATTCTTCGAAGGCTACACATGGCTACATTCCCGCTAAACGACATCCTCACCTGAAGGCACATTGCTTTCATAGTTGGTTTAGTTGTCAATAGGAATCAGTGATACAGATCGTTAGACAACTCGAGCCTGAAAACAAAATAGAAAAGTCGATCGAATCTTGAATGGTTTCATCCATGATTCTATACTTCTCTACTACATTCTGCAGGACAAATAACATTGCGTGAACTGTGCAGCAATATAGAGAATAGGGGGAAGCCAGACAGAAAAGCACATGGAAAGTAGTATGAATATTTGCAAACCCTGATAGATAAATGTCGTGGACTCACACATTTGTTATCGGCGTCTCCTCGTCGTTTTGTTCCAACAAGACTCTCAAATAATAGTCACCTGATAGCAGAGATACGTTACTGAGTTTGATTCCTATCGAGGAATAAGGGGGGGACGCTTTATGAAAACTGTTAAAAAGCTAGAGCAGTTAGGCTTATCACTAACCTGTTTCAGTTCATCAGCTAAACATTCATACAGGACTTCAAACTAAAGGTGATTCCAAAAGACAACGTAGTTTCCACTCAGATCTTTTTCCATTGCAAATGCGTGCAAATCAGATTCGAGTGCCCCAGAAGTTCCTCTCGCGTCTGTCACATTGAAAACATAAGAAATTGTTTCATACTCTTTTACGAGAACAGTTTAGAGAAAGAGGTCAGGACTATTGAATTTGTCTTGTTATACTCATAGCGACAGGAAATCCTCCATTACATTTCCATATCCTATATTTTCAACGGAAACTAACCTTAACTTCGAGACTCACCTTGTAATTCCAAATCAGGTTGTACGCTGTCAGATCTTGACTGAATCTGTAAAAAAGATCCGCTTAAATATCATTGCTTTTTCATCTTTCAAACGACTAAAACATTTTCCCATTTTCTTAATACGAACACTTACTTGTAATAAAAAAACTGGATTTAAATTCTCACATCTTTCCTGGATTTGAATCCTATTTTTGTCCTCCAATGCGAGAGATATCCTTCAAGTTGATTCCTCAACGTTCCCCTCGTTTTTCCAGAGCTCTAAGACACAAGTATAGCACGTGAAATAACAGGCTTATACGTACATGCAAGCATGCATTATGAAATTTTGGAACACGATTGTTGATTTAAAACGTACTTCTGCAAGCTTTACATTGTCACGAATTGATAAACGATCTTCTTCAGTCTCTGGTGGCTGAAGGAAAGATAAAAACTTTCCAACAAAATTGTTTCTTTACAAAAAGGTTTTACACTTCTGAATGAATTACCATTTAATTATTTCCTCAGTGGGGCAGTTGGCACAGTTTTTTAAGGATTGAATGATGGAGTAGTTACCAAAGCAGTTGATACCACTTAGTCATGAATACGATTGGTTAGTCAGAATCACCTCAATGGGTTTATGTAAATAATGGCCCTCGCAAAAAAGTTTTCAAAGATTTCTTACTTCGTCAGGGCTTTCAAGGTAATAGAGCAAACCAGCAGGCTGTGAAAATCGTATTCAAATTTATTACATAATTGTTTATGAACCAAAAATTATGAACAGGAAATCTCGCATTTAAACTTTCTTGTATATTTTAGACATTAAAAACTATAACTACTTTAATACGAACATTATTCTC